TTTTTCTTTCCCCTTCTTCCCTTTTTTTTTTTTTTTTTTTTATTAAACAACTCGCAACTGTCCTCCGGAGGATTTCACGAATACAGACTTGAAGAGATCGACGCAGAAATATTCTGGGAAAGCCAGAGACGATCGAAAGCACGATGAAGCTTGATCTCCGCCGTTGTTCATCTTCGAGGGAACGAGCCCGACAACGTTTCCCTTTCTTCGCGATCGTTCTCCGACGATTGTTGTGCTTCCACCACTCCACTCCCACCCCCACCAGACGAGTATCTTCCACCCCTCCAGCCCTCGAGGGCACGATCCTCTTTTAATAAGAGGAGCTCTGAGCTCGGAGGCGTTAAGTAATTACATCTATTCTCTTCTGGGGAGGAAATTACCTGTGCCTCGGGGTGGGAAAAATTAGGAAATTAAAATTAACCCCCGCCACCGGGCGTCGTGTCGCCTCTCCCTCCTCCTACACCTCCTCCTCCTTCCCGTTCGCCATTCCTGTTCCCCCTCAGCCTCTATCATCCTCTCTTTCTCGCGCCTTGCTTCTCGACTCGGTGCACTCCGTGGCTGGAACTCTTCGTACTCGAATTTAGGAGGAGCCGGCGGCCATTACCGCTTACGTAATCTTTTTACAGTGGCGGCAGCACCTTGTTAAGCAAAGTTATTTAACGCGGGACGTCGGGCTAGCTTGGTTACCGACGTGTCCTCGTCTATTTGGATGAATAGGTGAACGTATTGCGCCGATCGACGCCGGAATTCGACGCTTTTCAACGATCTTGTGCTGACTGAAGATCTATGGCATCGTCTGTTGCTTCGTATTTTGTTACTTTGTATTACGGAAATGATGTAATGGCTTTTCCCAGCAAGTAAAGTTGGATAAGAAATTTGATAAATTGTTTAACATTTACGTAAACCTGGCTGAGTTAAGCGCGAAGTAATACATTGACGAATATTGTTGCTTCGTGAATCGAGGAATCGACGGTGAGCATATTTTTAGCACTTTGAGGTTTTGTCTATTGATTAATCGAATTATAAATTGCTCATTAACGTCAATAAATGTTCTGAAGATCGATGAATTGAAATTGACCCGCCAAACGCATCGTTCGTTTCTTGTAAGAAAATAATGTAAAAATCTCATAAGACGATTGGAATAAAAATTCGACTGCTTCGCGTACCGCGCGTCCCACCCCGTTAAAACTTGCCGGTTTGCTCCTTGAACGTGGTAGACAAACTCGTGTACACAGTCTAGAGGGAAACTGGCGAGTTCCTAATTTACACAGCCGCCACATTCTCCGAAGCCCTTTTGGTCCAGACTCCTGAGTGCCGTCGGAACTTTGCCGACGATTAAAACGCTTTAGTAATTAACTGGGTCTCCTCACCTTCCGCGGTAACAGTTACCAACCCACCGGTATGCTCCTTCTGCCAACCAGTGGCGAGGATCTTTCCTCTCTCACCCTGATTCTCCCTTTCCTCTTCTTACAGGCTCGACCTCTTCTTCTCACCCTCTTTTCCCTCCCTCTTTCACGCCACTTCTGGCCTGCTGGCGCATATTTAGGGATCGCCGGTTAGAGGTTGCCCGGGCAACCAACGTCGAGAAACCCTCTGTCGTTGCCAGGGCAACCTTCTCTCGCTCCTTCATCTTCCCTCCAGAAACTGCTTCACCACCACTGGGCTGGATTCAATTCGTGAGAGCGAGAACGAATCGACTCTGGCTTCGGTAGGTGAAGAGGGTGTGTGTTAGACTGTGCATCCGGTCGCTACGGGAAAAGGAAAAAGACGCCGCACGTTCGGTGATTGTATTTGATAGCCCGACCGTGGACGTGGAGAATGAACATTCGACCTTGATTAAAGCGGAGCCCCCGGATTCTTTCCGTTTTCACGGAATCAGCTTCTCTGAGCTTGCCAGATCTTTGCGGTGGCAATTCTTCGATTCCGAGGAATTTAAAGCTGCAGGTACCTGAAAAACATGTCGATTCGTTATTTCTGGCGATGGAACAGAGAGTTTTGGTTTAGTTGAACAAAATTTGTCGTTCCAAGGGAAGAAGATTTCTGTTTCCACAAAGGAAAGCATGATAATACTATCATGATAATACTAATACTATCAGAATCGTCTAATTGTAAATTATCACTTAAAGAGATATATTTTGCTTCGTGACGTATGCCTGGAAAATCTTAAAACTACTGACCATCTTAAATTCCACAAACATCAAGTTAAAAACGCAGAAAATCCCCGCAAGCTCTAAGAAAAATGTATTCACTCTATGTAAAGTTCTAAATTGCACAAAGTTTTCGAAAAACTGCGAGATATTCCGTGACTTCGAGATTTTGATATTCCGTGACTTTGATATTCCGTAAAACTTCGAGATTTCCGATCTTACCCCGAATAGTGCAAGGCGAATCGTCACGCGTCCGGTAATCGGATCAGAGGACATATGAGGCGATCGTCTAGCCGATAAAAAAAAGCAGCGTCTTGCCGCGTGCATCTCTGTTCGCGTTCGTAATAAAGAAAAACGGGCGCAGCGACGGGGCGAATTTCCCTGACGTTGCGTGAAAATTCCGTGGGCGGTGGCGCGGTTTTCGCGAGAGCGGACCGAGTCTTATGAAAAATTGATCGGGCACGATATCTCACGTTTAGGCGAATCCGTTGAAGGAAAGCAGGACACGCGCCGCTCGTCCATCAAAAAACGCGGCAAACGAGTGGCGGGGGCC